ATATATTTGAGGTGCCACAAAAACTAGCTCCGTTTAATACGTCTGTTGACATTCTTTAACGAGACCTTTTATTAATTAATTGCATAACTTGTTTTTTTATTTATTTGTTTGTTTGTTTGATAACTTAAAGAGAGAATAATTAAAATCAATCATAATAATGAAGACATTTTGACTTTTTCGTAATTGAAGAGAAACTTTTTGACCTCGTTAAACTGTGTAGATATACTCTAAGAGGTTTCTAATATAAATTTTATTTCTTAATTTATTTCGGTAATATTGTATTTTTAACCTATTTCAATTTTAAATCATCTCTAGAAATAAAAACTTCATTAACAATAGAACATTGAGAAAAAAAGTTAAAATATCAATCAATCAAACTCTAACCAAAATTTTTAAGGAATAGAGAGACAAAATGTATAATAAAGTTTAAAAATATTTCTATTTCAAATAATTATTATAATTGTTTATATTATAGTTATTTTTAAATAATTTATTCTTAATTTTTTCCACTATTTTGCATTTTTTAAGATTATGTGTCACAATATATTGCAGAGATTAAATTTATTCTATAGAAAATTATGTATTAAGAATTATTGTGAATATTTTTATTTTAGTTTTTAAAGATTTATAATCTATGTGACTAATGTCTATATTTAAGTATTATAAAACTAGGTTAAAGATAGATAATTTTTACAATCAATAAGAATTTAAATCAAAATTGAATTGAAGAACTAACTACTAAATGTATGGGAAATTAAAAATAATAACATCTAATTAAAAATATTTTCATTTAATACGACTCTACATGTATGCCTTTATATATAATTAAGAGTATACATTTTCAAAAAAATATTATGTTATACACAATAAAATTAAATAAATATAAATTTTAAAATAAATTACAAAAATTCAAATCTAATTTTATATTAAATTAAAAGAAATCATTTAGAATGATAAATAAAATTTTTTGAAAGTGTTTTCATTTAATAAAATATTTAAAATTATTTTTTAAACAATTAATACTCATAATTTATCAAAAAAGTTTGTTAAAACTTGTTGACTTTGATAATAATAACTTTAAAAGACACATATACAAGGATTTCTAATGATGTAAACTTTTTAAAACTGTTGATGTATTAAGATTTAACTATAATTTTATTTATTTTAAATAATATTACTTAATTTTAATTTCTTTGATTTAATTTTAAGACTTGTACAATATATCAAATTAAGGATATCTTTCATTTTTAGATAAATTAAAATTTAATATTATTATAATCTTAATTAATCTTAAACTAAAATTTAATATCAGTTTTTAGTATATTCTTAATATGATAAAATATTCATTATTATCAATAGTACAATATTTTCTTTAATTCATTTTTATATAATTTTATTTAAATTTTAAAATATTCATGTAATTTATAAAAAACTTATTAGTAATTATTTAAGATTAAAAAAAATCTTAATAACATAGTTGAAACCACCACTTATCTTCTTAAGATGAGATAAATATAAGTATTCTTTGAGTTTGGTTGCTTTTTCTGCATTGAAATGAGAGACACCATTCTCTCCTCCTAAAGTTTTTTTTTTTTTTAATAAAGAAAGAAATATATTGATAGTATACTATCTACTATATTTATTTCAATTAATATTAAATAAAAATTATAAATAATTTGAAATTTCTTTCTTATTTAATAAATCTCATAAATGTGACTATCTATCATTTTTTACCTCCTAAAGCACCAATACTAAATCCGAGGCATAAAACTTGATGGAATCGAGAATATAAAATTGTATACTTAAGTCAAACAAATCCCATATATGCTTTATTCATATGTTTTTCCTTGACTAAAGATTTTGATTATTACAATCTTACAACACAAGACATGAGATGATATGCAAACCATCATAGAATAAAATTTATACGCATTACCAATTTCTTTGCATCTTAAAGCAAAAATCTGTAGCTAATTGTCTCCATTGGCACACTAGAAAAGGTTGACAGAAAGAATCTTTAATCTTTCTTCAACACCTAGTTACATTATTCATTGAATTGATGAATTTCCACTGACAAGATTTAGTTACCCCACTGTGTATTTATTTATTCCTGGATTATATGCTTGTCTATTTTATGCTAGTACTTTTTTAATATATTGATTAAAAAAATATACAACATAAAATTTTATATAGTTAACGTCACACTGCGTGTCTCATGCATACATAAGGCATCATAGACGTGTCAACCTCAGCAGTCTAAATACAATAATTTTGCTTTTGATGCTATAATGTTGTTTACACTTGACATACACTTCTGAAATTAAATTTATATTAAAATTATTATTTATACGATTATTGTATGATATTGTTTTTTTTTATCACATTAATCATTTTATCTTACCTTTTTTTTTTTATCTCTTTCTTTTTGTTATATAAAAACATATAAATACAACTTCTTTTCATATTATGCCCCCGTGAAAGTGAAAACATGGAATCATATGTACCCATCAAGCTAATTACCAATTTAATCATTTTAATCAGTCACTTTATTGAGATGCATGATGTGTTGTTGTAACACATTCAAGACTTGGAACTAATGGTAGCATAGATGATAAGGATGAATCTACGATTACGTGGAATGGTAGCTGTGAAAACCATGAAAAACAATAAGAGAAAATAAGAAAGTAGAGATAAAGAAAAGGCACAAATAGAATCCATGTTGCGTTTGAAAAGGTTGGGTTTCGATGACGATGCATGGCTCTATACGCCTATTTTGCTTTCCGTAATGGTCAACCCAATCTAACATGATTCGCACTCCTTAATATATAATCATTATTAGTTTGGATAATTAGATGCTTTCTAAGAGGTTTTTGCGTGAGGAAAAATATAAAACACCGGCACGCAATTTTATTTTATATTTTAACTTTAAACTCAGATGATTTATGTTTGTCAAAAAGGAGGTGTTTATGAATCATCTAATCCCATTTAATTTCAGAAGTCTATTTATTGAGAGAAGTTTATATAAAAATGTATCCTTGGGGTAGGTGGGTTGTCGTTTATGTAAATAATTTAAGATGCCATAAATTAATTAAAGTACTTGATGTGGTATTGTACCTTCTCTAAATTATTCTTCTAATATTTTAAACATAAGAGATAAGAGGATATTAACATTGTTGTAGCTAAATTACTAATTTCAATATAAAATTAATAATCATGATTGTTTCACGTGTAAGAGAGAATATTAAATATTCTAAATCATAAGGGGTATCATAAATTTTACCATTAATATTAGATATTATTGTAGAGTTTTGGAAAGAGAATTAAATGATATCTTTTACTATGCTAATTTTGTCCCTGATGAATGCAATTATTTTGTTGCATGATATAAAAGAAGTTGATCGGAATTATGTAAATGAACTGAATTAATAATATATCATAAATGTAAACTAGTTAGTGATATTAATTTGATTATTAGGGAGTATGTTGGAGATAACTAGGCATTTTATCCGGAAGAGAAGGTTGAAACTAGAGCACTCAATCCAGCTAAAGAACGTTACAATGCTTTTAATTTGTTGATAAGAATCATTTAATGATCAATTGACATATTGTCTTTAGTTGATAAATTTTTTACTTTGTAATAACTACTGCAATTACTTGCAACTTTACAGAAAAGTACTAACATAATCTAAATAATTTATTACATTTAAATATAATAAGTTAGTCGATTTATTTGTCTTAAATTTAAAAATTGAACAGAAAAACAAATGATAACATAATAAATATATGGCTTAAATATATTTGTAATCTTTTCGTGAATTTTTTCTTTGAATTCCGTCAAATCGTCTTTATTTTTTTGTTTTTGAGCTTCGCTTGTTAGTACGAAAAATTTTGTATGAAACAATGACAAATTATACGTAGCTTCATTTGAATTAATTATAGAAAATGAAAACAAAGTGAGTATTTGACAAAAATTATGGTGAGTCGTTAATATGAAGTTTCCTAAAATTTGTTTTGGTACGGTTCAGAATCTTCCTTTATTTTTATGTTATTATTTAAACTATTTACATTGAAACACGTTGCATTCTTGAAATTCGTGGAAAAAAATTTCTCACATTTACCACTTCTGTTTTGAGAATCACATGGTGAAAAACAAAATCAATTACTTCCAGCTCCTTCAAAAGGAGAATATTTCTCCCTGAAAACATGCTAATAAGTGGGTGAATGGAGTTTTTGTTAGCTGTCAAGATATGGTTGCTGTAGTTTTAACTGTGTGAACAGGAGAATATTTTTGGTAAGTGAAGACCACAAATTTTAGGGTTCTGAGATCATATGGTTTTGGCCACTCATGCTGCTACATCATGTGTCTATTTTCTTACAAAAATACATAAGTATTATGTTACTATTCACCATGATTATCATGGTTCAAGACCACTGAAAATTTTCTTTTTATATATTTGTTCTTCACATGTATGACAACTAGACCTTTGTAAACCCATTGGAGAAGTCGACAATTCAAATACAAGTCTTTGATTGAATCACTTACTAACATTTTGGATGGGGGCATACCCTACTCATTGATTTAAGTCACAGCAATCAGCAACTCATAAATTTAGAACAACCAATCATTACTTAGATAATTCTGCTGAAAATAACGAATGAATTATAGACACATAAGGCCGGTTACACCATGCTTAGTGGTGAACCAATCACACTAAGGCACATTAATTCCTTCATTAACTAAGTTTCTAATTTTTTAATATTTCTGTTATGGGTCCATAACTTTATTATCTAAGGTTGAGTGTTATGATACATTGCTTTTAACGGTCTCACAGAAATATGGGAGCTTTGCGGTTGCTTTGGCATGCTCTGAAAGCAACAGTCCCTTTCTCTATCCGTGATCAACTCAAACTATGCCCACTACTACTCCACGTTTTCTTATTTTTGCTTTCATATAAATAGTTTTATTAAATTTACATGACATGACACATACCAACGTTACAACTGCAACCATGATTCTAATTCTATCTCTTCTCTAACTCCATCTGCCTTTTCTTTTCTCATATATATTCTTTTTAATCTTGAAGATTCTGAATTGATCACCATTTTTTGCGTCCCTTTGCCTTTATGGAACCCGGTTCTCATTTCATCTTTTTGTCTCTCACTATATGTTAGTATACTACTTTTAGCCAAAGTTTTGAGGTTTATAACAATGTCTTCTTTCGGTTATGCTAGAAGCAGTGTCTTCTTTTATCTGTTTCTTGTAGAGCTTGTTGCAAAAACTAGTTTTTGCTTCTCTACTAAGGTATGGTTTTTTTTCATGTACTTTTGTTTTGGGTGTCGGGAGAGCAAGTTATGGAATCTGGATAGGGTGGCACTGGCAGGTTTACGTTGTGTACATGGGAAGCAAAACTGGGGAAGACCCAGATGACATTCTAAAGCACACCCATCAAATGCTTGCAACTGTTCACAAGGGAAGGTCAGAACTCAGTTATTGCAACAAGTTTTGTGTTGAAAAATTTCGTCTCTCTGCTGCCTTTTTTTTTTTTTTTCATGTTGTTTCAAATGTGTGATTTTCCTTTTTACCTGTTGGGAATGATTTTGACAGTATTGAGGAAGCCCAAGCTTCTCATGTTTATAGCTATAAACATGGTTTTAGAGGCTTTGCAGCCAAGTTGACTGATGAACAGGCTTATCAAATTTCAAGTCAGTGAAATTTTCCAGTTTTCCTTTGCTAATACACAAACACAATGTTCAATTAGTCCTTAAACTTATACTTTTTTAAAGGCTCTTGTAATTTTTTATTTTTTTTATGTTCAAATTTGAGCAGAAATGCCTGGAGTGGTATCTGTTTTTCTCAATTCTAAAAGAAAGTTGCACACCACTCATTCATGGGACTTCATAGGACTTTTGGAAGACGAAACCATGGAGATTCAAGGGTACTCCACCAAAAACCAAGAAAATGTCATTATTGGTTTCATCGATACGGGTGAGTTACTCTTAAAGTAAGGTGAAGCCTTTACGACAACTTTTTGGTAGCAATTTCTTCACCCTTACGTACAACATGCACCTTTTCTTCATACTCCCATGAAGACATTTAATAATCGCTTCATAAGGATTTCCACACCTTTTTTTATTTCTTTAGTAATAGCAGCTAAAGGAAAGTATGATTGAATACACTCGATTTCACTTGACATCATTGTGGTAGTTGAACTCTTGCTTAATCAAACTCCTTTAATTAAATAAACCATCTTTAAATATTACAACTAAACCTAAATTTGTTTTTCTTATTTCCTGTTTTGCTTCTGATACAAATAAAAAAAAAATACTCTCAATGAGATCTAATTTAAAAATGAAAATATTACACTGGGAAATGGTTTAATTTAGGTACTTAAAAGAACTGGAATTTTGTTAATATTTAGAATCGTAGTGGTTTTAATTTATTCATAATCATCAGTCACTGTTCATACTTCATACAGGAATTTGGCCTGAATCCCCAAGCTTCAGAGACACCAACATGCCACCAGTGCCTAGGGAATGGAAAGGTCATTGTCAATTAGGAGAAGCATTCAATTCTTCATCTTGCAACAGGTTTCTGGTTGAATCACACCCTCATCTTTTTTAAGTTTGACTTTATAAGCATTATCAGCATCCAGTTGTGTCATCTCCATTGGTTAATCATTTATCATAGGAAAGTGATAGGAGCTAGATACTACATGAGTGGACATGAAGCAGAAGAAGGGTCAGACAGAAAAGTCTCTTTCAGATCAGCCAGAGATAGCTCTGGCCATGGTAGTCACACAGCTTCCATTGCAGCAGGGCGCTATGTGGCAAACATGAATTATATGGGACTAGCAGCTGGTGGAGCTAGGGGAGGTGCACCTAGGGCTAGGATTGCTGTGTACAAAGCATGTTGGGATTCAGGTTGCTATGATGTGGACTTGTTAGCTGCGTTTGATGATGCCATAAGAGATGGTGTTCACATTATATCGTTGTCTCTGGGTCCTGAAGCACCCCAAGGTGACTATTTCAATGATGCCATATCTGTGGGGTCATTCCATGCTGCTAGCCGTGGAGTCTTGGTGGTAGCATCGGTTGGTAATAATGGAAGTCCTGGTTCTGCCACAAATGTTGCACCATGGATGATCACAGTTGCTGCTAGTTCAATAGATAGGGATTTTACCTCTGATATCATACTGGGAAATGGTGTTAAGATCATGGTAAAGCTTGATTACTTTTTGAACTTTGGTGATTTTCTGCACACTAAGTGGACTCTAATTGGTTCTCTATGAGTGAAATAGGGTGAGAGTCTCAGTATCTTGGATATGAATGCCTCCAGAAGAATTATTCCAGCATCTGAAGCCTTTGATGGATATTTTACTCCTTATCAATCCAGGTGAAGCACAAGGTACTTGAAAGTTGAACCAGCTAAAACTCGATGCACAGGGATGGTTTTTGAATTGAATGTTGTTCATTTCTGCAGTTACTGTGTAGATAGTTCCCTAAATAAGACAAAGGCCAAAGGGAAGGTTCTGGTGTGTCGACATGCAGAGAGTTCAGTTGAGTCAAAGTTGGCAAAGAGTAAGGTAGTGAGAGAGGCCGGTGGAGTTGGGATGATACTCATCGATGAGGCGAATCAAGAACTTGCCATACCATTTGTGATACCTTCAGCTGTTGTTGCAACAAAAACAGGGGAAAGGATTCTATCCTATATCAATAGCACCCGGTTTGTTGTTATATATTCGATAAAATAAGAACTTTTGTTATGTACTGCTGCTATTCTGCAATTCTCTAACTTGGCATTATGTTATGCTTAACAGCATGCCTATGTCAAGGATTTCCAGGGCCAAGACAGTACTAGGAGTTCAGCCTGCACCCCGTGTAGCAGCATTTTCTTCTAAAGGCCCCAATGCTCTGACCCCAGAAATTTTGAAGGTGATATTCTCATTTACATGCCATTAGTTCATAAAATGCCTTTTCATTTTGACTGAATCCGGAAGGATTTCTGGTTGTTCTGCTATGTAGCCTGATATTGCAGCTCCCGGATTAAACATCCTTGCAGCATGGTCTCCAGCTGCAGCTGGAAACATGAAGTTCAATATCATATCAGGAACTTCTATGGCTTGTCCTCATGTAACTGGAATTGCAAGTTTGGTTAAAGCCGTGCATCCTTCATGGTCTCCCTCCGCTGTCAAATCTGCCATCATGACAACTGGTATTACATACTTATAGAGGCCTACATTAAGCAATGTGTTTTGTTTAAGATTCTTCTTAATCGAATATAAACATAAATCTCCCTACTAGATTTATATTGTAGGACAAAACTTTGGTATTTTTCTTTAGGTGTTGTTAGGGCTGTTCACCAATTAAAACTAGAATTTAATTTTACTAAAAGGTTTACATTTAATCTTATCGTAGATTATCGAAGTAAAACTCTTAATTTTGATCAGAAAACAACCCAAATAATTCCTAAGGAATCATACCTAAGTTGTGTCCTGTATGTTATATCCGTCACTTAATGCCTCAAAATAAACTAATAAAGCTCCTTACTATGTCACCATTCAAGAAACTAACCATAAGTTTAATCTGCAGCAACAATTCTGGATAAGCACCACCAACCCATTAGAGCAGATCCTGATAGAAGAATGGCTAATGCATTTGACTACGGGTCAGGATTTGTGAACCCCGCAAGAATTATGGATCCTGGTCTCGTCTATGATTCACATACAGAAGATTTTGTTGCATTCCTCTGTTCACTGGGTTACGATGAGAGTTCACTCCGACTTGTTACAAGAGACAACAGCACATGTGATAAGGCATTCAAAACACCATCAGACCTAAACTATCCTTCTATTGCAGTGCCCAATCTTCAAGACAACTTCACAGTAACTCGAGTTGTGACTAATGTTGGAGAAGCAAAAAGTATATATGAAGCAGTAGTGTTGTCACCTGCTGGAGTTAATGTTACTGTTGTGCCAAATAGGTTAGTCTTCAGAAGAACAGGACAGAAAATCAAGTTTACTGTAAATTTCAAAGTGGTTTCTCCCTCAAAGGGATATGCATTTGGGTTCTTGTCATGGAAGAATGGAAGATCACAGGTCACTAGTCCTTTGGCTGTCAGGGTTGCATCAGCAAGCCTTGGTTTGGTCAGATAGCAAAGGTTGTAAATATGCATACTAGCATAGGACTAGTGAGATTCCCAAAGTCACTATAATCCTAGAACAAATAGTCATACTCATATCCTGATGCAGTCTAAATGATCATTCCCAAATTACATTATAATTTTATGCTTGGAGCAGCAGGTGATACCAAGCACAAAATTGAAGAAATAATATCTTGATGCCCTGACTCAGATTCATAACTATTTGTCAGTTGTCATTACAGAACTTTGTTATGTAGGTTGGTCAGCATTTGCCATGCATAAGTTTGGTGTTATGCCTTGTCCCACCGAAGAGGCTAAGTTAATATTTCATCTCTAAATAATAATAATAAAAATGTAAGTGAATAATTATATGGTTATTTAAAATGATGTTTTTTTTTAAATAAAAACAAATTGATATATATTTTGCTCGCCAAAACAATAGTTTATTTCTAGTATTATAAAGCTAACTAGCTAACATCTCTCGTATTCTCTCAACCATTTTTAAAAAAAAGGAATCTCGCATTCCCATGCTCTTTTTCGATACATTACTTACCTCAATGCATTTTCGATTATTAAGGATTTTTCTTTCCAAATTATTTTACATAATTAAATATTTACTCACTCATTTTAGGAGTATAAATGAATGTTAACGTCTTCCCTTATACAGCTTGGAACAAATCCAAGGGCAAAAAATTCATATATTTATGTTAAAGCATCAACGATGATTGAATAAGAATACTAGGCCTGGGTTAACGGAAGTTGTCTGTAGGGCAGTCAACAAGTATCAGTGATGTGTTTGGTTCCTCCAATATCTGTTCAGAAGTCTGAAGCTACAGTGAGGTTGTATTTTTTTTGGATAAAATTTCCTTTCTATGAAATTTCAACATCTCTTGTCTCGGTATTTTCTTCCTTACATCAGTAAAGACACTTCTGAATGTATGCGGCAAAATGGACTAGTCCTATTTTCAAAGTTAAATCGTGTCATTTTCAGTTCTTCACCAATAAGCAAAAAGGAAACCAGGCAGTAGAAAGAGTAAACTCAATCCCCATTTTGCTTTGTTTTAAATCTCTTGTATAATCCGTCATCCAATGACATCTTAGGTATCCAGTTGGATTTGAACTGGCAACCCTGTTCTACAAGGTCTAGAAACTAGAAAAGCTAGTTTTGCTTAGAGGAATTTCAGAATCATATAGCATGCACTCTGTCCAGACTTCATTAACTACTCGAATTCCAAGCCACTTCGCTTTAGCTCAGCAAAGCCATACCAAACAATTTACTAGTTAGCAATCATATTTTATTTCCTCTTCACTGGTGTACGTCTCAATTCATTGGCTGCAGAATATTCAAATAGTAAAATTCTTTACCAATCAGAAACACCAATATGCAGCAACTTCATGAGTGTTATATCACCCTTACTTTTGAACTTGGATGTCTAGTTGAGCGCCAAGTTAGTTGTCCAATGACAGAATCTTGTTGCTTTTTAAAATAGTATATCATAATTCATAGGAAACTACAGGATTCCAGATGGTAAATAACCACAGTGAACAAGAAATATGAACAACCCACTATGATTGAAGACATAATTATTTAAGTATCCTGACTGCATCCTAGACAATAGTGAACGGACAAATTATTTTTATCCATCCAGTATCTAAATAGCTACACAAAAGGAGCCAACAGTGACTTCTATTTTAGGCATCATATAACAACATATAGATGTCATGATAAAGAGATGAAATGACGCAGTGTTAACATAGTTGCAAACACTATGAGTGTATCACCGATGGATCAACAAGGCCTTCCATTACAACAAGCTGATCCAGCAGCGCAATCTTTTCTTCTTCCAGTGTTTTTACCTCATCTTCAACCTCTCTTAGCTCTTTCCCTAATGCAAAGCTCTCATCCTCCAACAACAAATACTTCCGCCTCAACACACGGTACTCGTTCCCAGCTGCAGAGGAGTCAGGCAATGAATCTGAATTGGAACCTTCCTGTTTCTGAAAATGTGGTGACACTTCAGTCATCAAGTGTCTTTTGGAACCTTTTTTGGATGGAGGCACCTGTCCATCTTCCCTGACATCATTCCCATGCAATTGAAATAAAGATGCCTTTTGAATTGAGCTTTTCTTCTTCCTTGGCTTATTATTCAAGATCTCCTCCGACAAAGGAATTCTTGGATCTTGCATTTCTCACTAATAGTCACTGCAGAATAAGAAAGGGAAAAAAAAGGGATAACAACACACACATCTTGAAGTTAGTTGAAGTGAATAACTATATATAAGCACTGAAGTTAATAACCAAAAGCATGACACTTATGACTTCAAAATTGAAAGAAAGATTAAAAAACCTGTAAATATGGATTCAACGCAGAAGCTACAACTAGTAGCTTTGACGTAAATATGGATTCATTTGCAATTAAGCGCGAAACCAAACACACAGCTAAAGTAAAAAAAATACTTTTCATAAAGAAAGTTATCTGGATTCCTCAGACTAAGAGAGGAAGGCTTAAATTTTATCTACAGTAAATGTAAATACTTTAAATAAATAAAAAGCTGCCACATCAATGCGAAAACTTTCACTTCTAATTAAACTTTCTGATTGGATTTTTCAAACAGGCAGAAACACATGATTGATTAACGGATACCTAATAAAACTTCCGTCTTGATTTATAAAAAAACTGGCAATAATTCATGCATTAGCACAAGAAAGTTAAATTTGTTAGAACGAAACGGACAGACACACATGTTCTCCCCAATTTTGTAGATGAATAGACGATCTCAAGCAACAAATACCCAAATCGGAAAAACAAAAGAAAAATCGATCGACAAAATTAAAACCCTTCTTCGAAATTTAAAATGCAGTAGAGATTAGAAGAATAAAAAAACAAAAAACAAAAATTGGTATGAAATTCAGGTTTAAACGTGGACGAAAGGGTGGAACAGCCAAACCTTGCGAAGGTAATTGAAGAAGGTGTTGATTTTTGTCTTCAATTGAAACGTGAAGAGGGAGGAGATCTTCAATGTTGAATTAGGGTTCAATTGAAAACAGATCAAAATGGTGGTAACCTTGTTTACATTCGCATACCGGTAATTGCTGACTTGTCAACCAATGATTCGTTATACATCAATATTCATGCCTTCCATGAACACCCCACTTTTTCATTTCAGTAGAATTTTTCTTTTTCAATTTTTAGAAAATGCTAAAAAGAAAAATCTCGAATTTAGATGTCTAATGTCTTGCAGTAAGTAGTTGATATAATCGTCAATGTTCTGAAATTTTGATCCTTCTAAAAAAATTGTTATCTATAAGGAACAGAGACGATATAAGATTAGACTAAGGAAGAGATATCTTTAGATAAGATAAACAAATATCTCTATTTTTTTTTTTTCTTTTCATGTATTTTTTAAGTGAGATAAACTTCAGCTTAAAATTTAGATTTTGATTTGATCAAGTTTTAAATTACTTTAAAATGACTTAACTAAAATGAAAATTCAAAATTTAAGACTACACATTTAATTAAATAAATAACAATAAATTAAAAATTATCAATGACAATTTTGTTTAAAAAAAAAAATTAAACTACCAATAATTGTCAGTGACAGTTTTTTCAGTTTAATTTTTAAAATTTTTAATATTTCTATAATTTTGTATAAAATCTGATATTTTAATATTTTTTATATAAAAAAGTCAAATTTTGAACAACATTCACAAAAAATATTTATATATTATCCACTAATAAAAATTTTATATTGACAATAAAAATAAATAAAATAATTTTTTAAAAAGATTTAGAATGAGTCAAAATATTTAAAAAACTAAAATTTTAATTTAGTAAAATTTATTTGTTTAAATGTCTTTTATTAGAGAACAATATTTTTAAGTCTAAAAAAATAATGTTTTAAATATTTAATATAACTACATTTACTAAAATTTAAAATTAAAATAAAATATACTAATTAATATATACATGCTCATATAGAATGACAAGATTTTAACTTATGTTTTTGAAAAAAAAATACTAGTTGTTATTTAATAATTGAGGTTACGCATATGAGTTCATCAAAAGTTCGTGACGATGCAAACAAATTATATGATAGCAAACGCTAATATTTTATTTAAAAACAGAGATAAATGATAATTTTTTCCATAATTGATAATTTGATAAGAAGAAAAACGAAAGTTTTGTGTGAGTTTTTACACCAAACATCAAAATCCTTCGTTGTACTATTCGCGTTGAAAGAAAGTCAATGGTGTGCTTTTAAAAATACTTATTTAAAGATTATTGTAAAAAAACAAAGTGAAATTACTTTTATATATATAAATAATTATAGAATAATATGTGTATTAATATGTTTTGCTGATTAATTTTCATTTTCAATTTTCTTTCAACTTGTCATTATATTTTAGCGCAAAATACTGTGCTTAAGCTCATAAATAAATAAATAAATATTAAATTAAAACTAAGAGACATATGACATATGAATGATTATAAAGCAAAAGGTAAATAAGATTAAACTATGAGCAAGTTGAGCCAAAAGCCCAAAAGAAAATTAAAGGAATTATAAAGCTTATAAAGAACGGGAAACAACTGTATTAGGTCACACGCTAAAGTTAAAGGACAACATGCAAATATTATACATCAACAACGTTGTTTTTTTGCCTGTCATACTTTTCTTCAAAAACTCGCTTATATGTCAAAGCATCTTTTCTTCTTTTAACAAACAAAAGTAAATAAAAAGCACACACTGCTCATCAGATTATGGGATCCCAAACTAAGCCCACCACCATCATAAACTAATATCATAATGATATTAATTAAAAACAATAATTAATTTTATTATTTTAAGATTATTTTAGTGTTTCATCCAAAATTCTAAAAAACAAAAGAAAAAAGATTTCATCCAACTCAACAGCATCGTTAGACTCGTTGCATATAATGTATTAAATGCTTTGATGCTCCTCACCTTCATAGGTTTTCTCTTAATAAGTCATAATATGTTTTGGCACAAATTTTAATAATTTTAAATTAATTTGCTTAAGACACTGATTAATAAAAAAAATATAAAAAAAAGGGTTGATTTTGAAGTATAAAATATTTGGCGGACAAAAAACACGGAGTTCAATGGAAAGTTCGTAGAAAACAAAGCTAAGAACACCGATTTCAAACGTTGTTGCAGAAGACAATGTCATTCTCATTCCTCGCAGTGAGAAATTATAACAAAAGCAGGTAAGTAAGGATTTAGAAATCAAGAAAAAGATAATAAAACACATCACGTTCTCCATTATTCAAATCACGAATATAGCTGGCCATGCTTCCACTCCAATGCACCATCATCATCAACCGCCACAAAATGCCTACTTACTTCGCCGCCGTCATCACTATTCTCCTCCTCTTCCCGGCGGCTACTTCCCAAGCCCAGATTCTCCAAAAGGAAACCCACAATTTCGGTCCCTTCAACCAATCCTACTTCAACATCTTTGAGATCATTCCCTCTGCCGCCATCAACTTCGGCGCTCTCCAAGTAACTCCCGACAGCACCGGCAACGTCTCCCTCAACAACTTCTCCGGCAGAGTCTTCTTCATCAACCCCTTCAAACTCTGGGACGATAACGACATCAACGGGAAACTCGTTTCGTTCAACACTTCCTTCCTCGTCAACGTTTTCCGACCCAAAAACGACACTCCCGGCGAAGGCATAACCTTTCTCATCGCTCCTTCTCTTTCCGTCCCTCTCAACAGTTACGGCCAGTTCCTCGGCCTCACCAACGCCTCCACCGACGGTAACAGAACCAACCAAATCGTCGCCGTCGAACTTGACACCGTCAAGCAGGACTTCGACCCCGACGACAACCACATCGGGCTTGACATTAACGGCGTTCACTCCAACGTTACCGTTTCTCTGTCACCTTTGGGGTTCGAGATCGCCCCGAACGACACGCGCTTTCACGTGCTGTGGGTGCAGTATGACGGTGACCGGAAGGTTATCGACGTGTACATGGCGGAGCAGGGTGATAAGGACGCTCCTATAGTAGCGAAACCAGCGAAGCCGATTTTAAGTTCGGGTCTTGATCTGAAAGAGGTGGTGAATCAGGTTTCGTATTTTGGGTTCTCTGCTTCAACCGGAGACACCGTTGAGTTGAATTGCGTTCTCAAGTGGAACATTTCTATTGAGATTTTTCCTGAAAAGGGTGGGAATGGAAATGCGTTGAAGATTGGTTTGGGTGTTGGGGTGCCTTTGGTGCTTCTTCTTGTGGTTGGTGTTGTTGGGTTGGTTTACTGGTTACGTAAGAAGAATAGGAAAAGTGACCCTCAGATTTTGGGAACGCTTAAGAGTCTTCCTGGAACACCCAGGGAGTTTAGGTTTCAGGAATTGAAGAAGGCTACCAATAATTTCGATGAGAGGCATAAGCTTGGACAGGGTGGATACGGTGTCGTTTATAGAGGGACACTTCCCAGGGAGAAATTGGAAGTGGCTGTTAAGAAGTTCTCTAGGGATAAGATGAAAAGCACCGATGATTTCTTGTCTGAACTCACCATTATCAATCGTCTCCGTCATAAACATCTTGTTCGATTATTGGGTGAGTTTCCGTTTATCCAATGCTTACAAGTTAAAATCAGTTTTTTTTTTCTCATCATGTTCGATTTTATTTGAAGTTTCAGTTTGGTTTAGGTTCGATTTGGAGTAAATCTATCAATTTCTAATGAACCCTTCTGAAATTCAAGTTATTAGGATTTAGATCCGACAGTAGTTCTGTCCAGATCAACATCGTCATCTTCTAGGAATATTTGAAACCCATGTGTGGGCATTATTGTATGCTGCCAAATTCTGTAGCACACATATTCGCTGACAACTTTGACCAGCTATGGTCACGGTTGGTGGTGTCCTAATGACATGACGAGTTGCTCCATGTTCTTGTAATGTTTGATCTGAACCTTTATGGTTCCGTATTTGGTCCCGTTAGGTTCCTTTTGTTTTGAAAGTGACCTTAATTTTGATACATTCTGTCCCTAGTCAATATTAACCACTCCATTAGAGATAACCTTTCCCTGCCTTTTGGTCCCGTCCAAAGATGATTCATTGAAGCTTCCTATATAATATAAATTTCCCACATAATCTTATAACGTTGTCAACCGAAATTTACTATCTTATATGGTTGAGGTCGAAGTGACAAGAAGCATCCTGCCGGCCATTGTTTTCATAGTCTTCTTATTGTAAGATAAAAAGCATGAAGTCCTTATTTTTAATGAAAATGCATACACAATTAGTTTCCCTTGACTTACAAGCATTACCAACTAGTGGTACATAAAATAAACTTGAAGTCAATTGCAATAGTTTCTCTGCCCTTGCCACCATATTATAATTTACAATAGCAATTAATGTTTTTATTCAAGCATCTGATTTTAATAATAATATGCAGGATGGTGCCACAAAAACGGGGTATTGCTCTTAGTGTACGAATACATGCCTAATGGAAGCTTGGACAACCACATTTTTTGTGAGGAAGGGAGCAGCACGACCCCACTAAGTTGGCATCTAAGGTACAAGATCATATCAGGGGTGGCTTCTGCATTGAATTATCTACATTACGAGTATGATCAAACAGTGGTTCACAGAGACCTTAAAGCCAGCAACATCATGCTGGACTCGGACTTCAATGCTCGTTTAGGTGACTTTGGCTTGGCACGTGCACTGGAGAACGAGAAAACATCATATGCAGAATTGGAAGGAGTGCATGGCACCATGGGGTACATTGCACCTGAATGCTTTCACACGGGTAAGGCCACAAGGGAATCGGATGTTTATGGGTTTGGAGCAGTGCTCCTTGAGGTTGTGTGTGGTCAAAGACCATGGACAAAGATTGAGGGGTATCAGTTCTTGGTGGATTGGGTGTGGCACTTGCATCGTGAGGGAAGGATACTAGAGGCAGTGGATCCAAGACTTGAGAATGACTATGTGATTGAAGATGCTGAGAGGATTTTGAAATTAGGACTTGCTTGTTCTCATCCTACTGCTAGTGAGAGACCTAAGATGCAAACAATTGTTCAGATCATATCTGGGTCAGTGAATGTGCCTAATGTGCCACCATTCAAGCCATCTTTTGTGTGGCCAGCTGTGGATCTTGGAAGCCTTTTAAGTGACTTTACAGCAACTAGCACATCTGAGTACACACCCGTTGACAGTTACACACAATCTATGAATGTTGAATTCTCTGATAGCAGCTCTCTGGTTTAAAATTTGCTTTCCACTATGGATTCCAATTCCATCCTCTCTCTTTTTTTCCTGTGTCTGTATGTTGGTCAGCCCTTCTACTTACTAAGTTAAATTTTCTTCCTATGAAATAATGGAAGAAAATTTCTTCAGACGCTTTTTAGTTATTTTAATTTGACTTGATTTTTAAGCAATGGGGTATAGATTCTTTTAGTTTTCTTTTTCCTTCTAATTTTTGTTGGAAAGGAATGAAATTGGGGTGCAACTCTGTAAATTTTTATGAAATATCTTAATTCAGTGCTTGTTTTTGCATTCTCTTATTTTTATTTTTCAATGACAAAGAAAGTTGAAGCCGAGTTGAGCCCAGAAAAATTATAATAAGGTGGAGTCTTCAAAGTTCAAATTCACTTACGATATATTTTGGTCCAAGGTGGGAATGAGTGGTATTTTGCCTTGGGATAAAAGTGTTGGGAAATATTAGTTCAAAATATTATTATAATTTTTTTTTTAATTAATGGGTCATGGATAAATCATACAAGAACTCTTTCAACCTAAAACTTAATGGTTAGTAAGTTTTTAAGTCTTTATCATAAAACTTGTACAAATTAACGATGAAACATTGTAATAATCGTTTATTTACAAAATAGCCTACGATGTGGGGTAAGGAGGCCCCAAAAAATTGGATTCGGGGGAGGGAAAGGATAAGAAATAAACACGAAGACCATATGGTTCTCCTCAAGACTTTGCTTGGCAATTTTTAGTGTGTCTAGGTTAGTGGTTGCAAAATTAATTTTCAATAATCTTGATTTTATGAAATTAACTTATAATTAGAATTGGGTTTTAAATAATCTTGATTTTCAATAATCTACGATGATGGTTTCCACCCCAATTCAAACATACAAAGAATCAAATATTTAGAAAATAAAATAAAATAAATAGAATCAAAGAATCATCGAGCAAGCTTTTGGAGGTGGGCCGACTCAACTAATGCCTAAGCTCAAAACAATTTTTGAAATGAAAATTTTTAAAATTACTTCAACATAAATTATTGACATTACTTCGTGAACAAGTAAAATAGGTAACAAATAGTTATCACAGTCAATATGTTAAGGGCTCTGATTTATTGCAATATTTTTAATATTAAATAGTGAGATATATATTTTAATTGTGACTGATGTACTAATAAAAGTTAGTAGTAAAAAATAATTAAAATAGTAGCTAATTAAGTGAGATGTATCATAATAATATGATAATTTTTTTTTAAAAATATTTATTCTCAATATTATTTATATGTAATTGATATTTTTAACAATAAATATTAATAATCAATAATATTTTTCGGGATCTAAAACAGAAGTTTTAGTTAAGTGATATTAAAATAGGTCCCTTTTTGGAGAATTCCACGGTTGATGTTACTGAGAGAATTGTAATAATAACTCACTTAAAATATTTTATTCAAACACACTCTAAAATTAAATATTCAAGCAATAAATTTTAATACATAAAATTATAAATTCTTTTAGAAAAATGAATTACTCACTTAAAATATCTCACCCATGCACACACTGAACCAACAAATTGAAATGCCTTCATGCATGTTATCTTTTTGCATGATGTACATTCAGTAAGTAGAGAGGAATCAAGATCCATGAATAAGCTCCATGTATAAATACAATACTATCATGGAGCTAATATTGTAGGCTTTATTCATGCAATTTCATTTTCATTACCCATTTATTCATTCCCCGTCACAAGTCCCTCGAAGTTAATTATTAACACTTTGGTTCCCATCACCAGGCAAAGTGAAATATTTCAAGGCTCCACCAGTGTGCATCTTGTTGGAGATTCTGACCTTCCTATAATCTTCATAAATAAAAGGTTGAAACAGACGTGGGTGATGATGGTCCACCAATTCTGCTGGGGCCTCAACATTTCTTTTCTTTGGTCCTAACATGAATGTAGCAATTGATAGACGTTTGCTTGCTTCCTTGCATAGGACTCGTTGCTCCACGTTGCGAAACCTTCCATTGCTCCATACCTTAATACATTTATATATTATGCTCAGAATTTGCATATAACACAAGTAGTACGTTTAACTACATCATCATAGCAGAAAAATGGGCTGACCCAACTCGCCTAAGATCTGTTCTTTAAACTTTGAGTAAATTTGGACTCTTTTAGCTTAATTCAATCAAGCCTTTGAAAGCCCACAAAAAATAACACTTTACCCGTTTCGAATATTATTTTTTAGAAGTAGGTTTGTAATAGAGTTTAGTATAAGTTAGAATGAAGGTGATAACTTACTGTTACACACTTACATGGCCAACTTCGCCAAGATTGACAAGGAGGGAGCCAGCTAATGGAGGGACTGGCACAAATGAGCCAGAAATGTGCATGACTTCAAGACCACCAACATTTTCGTCATCTTGAAGAATGGTTAGGAAGCCTGAATCTGTGTGTATTTGAACTCCAGAGGATCCATTACACCCACAGATTCAGCCACCTTTTTTCCTAATTCTACAGCCAAGCCATGAATTGCTTGCCCGTAAGCCTCCAGTATTTCCCTGACAACTCAATCACAAGCCAATAAATGAACATGTCTGTTTTTGGGTACACAATCCAAACTAGTTAATACTATTTACCCATGTTTTACACGGGGTTATTTATAAATAAAATACAACTTATTTAATTTTAAGATATTATTAACCTTAGCTGAGAATAAACAGATAATAATAATAAAATTTTATTAAAAAATATTTATTATATTTTTAAAATTTCAATATAATAACTCTATTTTTTTTATAAAATTTTTTATTTATAAAAATACTTAAACTGAAACTTAAAGACTGAGATTAACTACCCTTAATTTTATATACACAATAATAACTGCCGACAATCGTCACTGATCTACTCCATTTTATTTTTTTTTTAAATATTGTCTTATATTGTTTTGCCAGAATGGGTTACACATGCAAATTTTTAATTACAGTTCTATCTATCTAGGGCATAATATTCTTCTATAAATCGTTACATCATGTTAAAGTGCTCAAAGTCAAAAGGCAAGTTTTACTGATCTGGCAACCACATGGATATAAAAATGCCAATTGAGTTTTAGTTTTCGAGTTTTAAACTTTTATTTGATCTTTTGCGAAGTAATTATTGTTAAACAGATCTAACCAATTAATAAGCACTGAATAATCTCAGAAAAGGATATAATAGGAAATTCTAATTTATTTATTTATTGTTGTAAGAATTATCAATTTAAGTTAGAGTTTAAAACTCTAATTTGAATAGAGAAAATAAGTTGAAATGATGGAATAAACTTTGATAAACTTTGACAAACTTTGACAAAGTTTGGTGCATAATCATAAACAAACCTTTGGTGGGATGAGGCTTCAAGTTGAGAACAGAAATTGTGCATGGCTTGAGAGGAACACAAGTCATAGATGGCCAAGGCCTCATAGAGAGGGTTGATTTCACTTGGTGCCATGTAACCACTGCCAACAATGCTTTCAGTGTTGCGCTTCTTAATCTCCATAGGAAGCTCAAGCAAAGCTCCAACCACCTCCTTTATGTTTTCCATAAGGGTTGGGGGAATAGAATGGTTAATGAGCCTGAAACAACCCCATTTTTCACATGCCTCTCTTAGCTTCTTGCATTCCCCTTCCTCTGAAATCTTCTCCAAATCAATCACTGGAATAGTGGTTCCCTCCATGCTTCTGTTTCTCTATTATTGTCTTTGCTCCTCTCAATATCACACACGTTTTTGCACCCATATAAGCAACCTAGGACCTATTAGTCTATTTTTCTTTTTTATAACATACTTCACTTATCATATTCACTAATATTAATATGTTATTTTTAGACGTTATTTTATTTATTCATTGCTTCTAAAGTCGTGTATATTTTAAAGATTTTGTTTGAAAGTTTGAAAAAAAAAAGATAAAAGAGGAAAGAAAAAGAGAGAAGGAAAAATATTAAATGATATATTATAAATTTTTAAACAAATTAATTATTTTGAAATCATTTTAATAGAGATAAAAGCTTATAAATATTATATAATACTTTCATTATTTAAATCTGAAAGTTGATAGCATCTATAATATCATGTATCATTATTTATATCTCTTATCAATATCATTATAATATCTATAAATTAAATTAAAAAAATCCAATAAGTAATAAAATAAATTTCACATTTATTCGAATATTTAACATAATTATATTTAAAATTTAAATAAGCTAATTTGCGTGTATGTATCAAAATGAGGAAACAAATTTGAATTCTACTTTATCCTCACCTACTTGTATCAATCCCTATCACGTGCTCCAATGTTCCATTTTCTACTTACTGTGACAAATCATGGTTTTATTTTATTAAATATAGACTATTTTTTTTTGTTAATATGATAAGTTCTTTTGTTATGGCATTATAATAATTTGACATAGAAAAATAATACGATTATATATCTTCGGATCGAAATTATCAAAAGAAAAAGTTACAAAGAGCACGATACAACTCATAATACTAAAATCAATAGGATATAAATATGGGTCAGTTTACTTAATTTACCTATGGTTTGAATTAAAAAGTTTTATGCTTGTGAGTTCGCCTAGTTTAGAAAATAAAAATATGTGTCAAAACACAAGTAAATTCTTTAATTTTAAAAAAATTAAAATAATTAAGCCATTTTTTATATGTATAAAAAAACAAGTTAAAAATTATTTAATATCTAAAAATAATTAAATGTTAATTTTTACAATAATTTAAAGTATTTAATAAAGTGTATTTAATATTAATAATGGTTATCACACTTATCCCTCCTTATCTAAAGAAACGTCAAGGACTAAAAAATAATCATTATTAACAAAACTTTAAGAAATAAACTTAGAAAGAACACGCAGTGTTGTATAAATAAAAAGATTTTTATTAATCACTTTTTGCCTTATACGCAAATGCTCTCCTCTATTTAGAGAGGAAGAAGAGCAAAACTTTTTACAGCTAGATTATACCTTATAAGATTTTGATATCTTTTTTAAAGACACTTTAAGCAAATAGTACAAGCCTTAGTACAATTATTTAGATAAAACAAACCAAAAGTAAAAGCATAAAGATATTTCTTACCATCATGAACACTACCTCAAACACCACCCAAACCACTTCTACTGAACTTTCCCTATCTTTTTAAATTCTCTTATGTCATTTCCAAAAAACTGTATCAGAATTGAAACTAAGAAAATTGAGAATTTGATTGATTACACTTATGTACCAGAAGAAGCTAAACTCTATGAATCTGTTGATCTTGAGAT